ACATACAATTCAGTGTTTGTCTATGTGCCAGATTCCAACATCAACCAAAAGAGAGTCATTTAACAGCTATAAAAATAATATTTAGATACTTAAAAGGCACAAGTGATCTTGGTCTATGGTATCCTAGGTCTGATTCCCTCTCCCTTACTGGATACTCGGACTTAGATTTTGCTGGGAGCATTTCAGATAGAAAAAGTATCAGTGGTACTTGTTAGTTTTTTTGTCAGTGTCTTGTGTCATGGTCAAGTAAAAAACAAGGATCTGTTGCTCTGTCAACTGCTGAGGCAGAATATGTTGCAGCAGGCAGTTGTTGCACTCAGGTTCTATGGCTAAAGTCCCAACTGACTGATTATGGTGTCAAAGTTAACAAAATTTCGATTTTCTGTGACAACACAAGTGCCATTTGTATGTCAAAAAATCCTGTTCATCACAGTGGAACCAAACATATTGAAGTAAAACATCACTTTATTAGAGAATTAATACAAGCTGGTCATATTGAATTAAACTTCATACCCACTGAATTCCAAGCCGCGGACATTTTCACCAAAGCTCTCTCCTTAGAAAGATTTATTAGATTATGTGATGAACTTGGCCTTCAATCCCCTCACTCCATCCAAGGCTGCTACTGAATCAGGTTATGTTCTTCCTTTACTTATATGATTATAATTACTACTTCGTTGACTGCTTCATTTATGTCTGTTATGTGTTTCTAATAAATGTGAGTTCATGCATGTGTTGTTTCATTTCTCAATATAAGTGTGTTTTTCTAAGCATCGTGTTGCATCTCTTGAGCTTCTGAATTGACTATATAATTCTCCATCCCCGCCCCCCCCCCCCTCCCATCTCACTCCAAATTCTCCTGCTGACACTTCCTCATCATGACTGAGCTTTTCACATCATCCAACATTCCTGGTGCCATTGTCACTTATGTTGGTCGAACATTTAACGAGCCTGTTGACTGCAACCTTCACCGCTTCAAAGAATTCTATGCTTCCCGCCCTCTGTCTGACCCTATTTCCCTTGACCTTTTTGAGTTTAAAACTCATGGCATTGACGTCACCCCTTTCATCAAAAACCTGGGTTGGGAATTTCTGCTTCACTATCCTCCCCTGACTGCCTGTCCCCTTCCGGTGCGCACTTTCTATGCTAATCTAGACTGTCAGGGGATCACCACCAGAAAACTCACCACCCTTGTCAATGGATACTTCATCTCTCTCACATCGGAAGCAATTGGTCTCCTCCTGAATCTTCCCACTGGAGGACCGCTACCTCTGGCTCATGAAGATTAGTTTTTGTTTTATGATTTCGACCATGTGATCGAGTACTCTAGGATAACTCAACGCCCTGTTGGGGAACATGAAGTGATCACCTCGGCCGATCTGAACCCCACCCTGCACACTCTCCACTATTTCATTACCCATCTTTTCTTACCTCGTAGCCATGGCCTTCACATTGTCACCAAAATAGACCTCTGGATTCTGTCCAATGCCCTCACTGGCAGGAAGATTGATTTTTCTCAGCTGTTGTTTGGCTCCATCGTTCGAAGTGATGATGCCCAACTTGGAGGGCGCCTCCCTTATGGAGGCTTAATCACTCTTCTCATATCCAATCTCAGCATCTCCCTTGATGGATACTCTACTGTGGAGTCATCTGTCTCAATCCCTGCCCACACAGTTCTCAAGTTCATTGGCGTGGAACCTCAGCCTTCGAAAGGGGGAGATATCTTTGGACCAGCAGCTAGAAAAACCAAACCTGGTTCCAAATCATTATCCAAATCCCCGATACTCGGGGAATCTTCCTCTTCTATCTGCAAAAACCTTATCATCTCCTTTGAGGAAGAAGAAGCTGAACTGGAACCTGAAACCATATATGAGAAGGACATCAGGCTCTTTGCTGAAGATCTCGAGAGAGACTTGATGGAAGGAGCAACTGATGCTCAAAAAGAAAATGTGATGGAGGAAGAAGCTGGAACTCAGGGGGAGACTCAGGACATCATCAATCAGAATGCAGAGACTTAGAAATCTGATTCATAGGGGGAGTCTAGGGAACTGTCAGTCAATTTCAACCTCTAAGAAAAAGTCATCTTAGAAGAATAAACTAATTAGCTATCAGCAATGTCTTATGAGTTAAGTATGTGTGATTCTTGACCATAATGTTCTATCAAGTATGTCTCTTCCATGTTTCCTACATTAAGACCATAATGGTCTATTCATGTTTCCGTTGGTGTGTCTACATCAAATAAAAGTTTATTTTGATTCAGGCTTGTCTGCAAAACTTGGTACTTTGAAATGATCTAGATGATTGCAGGAATGGAAGCTTGAACGCAGGGGGAGATTGTTGGGCCTTGCCTCGTCCATAAAACCCTGAAGCCCACACACTCACAAAAGCCCTCCTGATGCGCAGCGTTTCATCTCCACTCAACAAATGCCCCGATCGCCTCTTCGCCTCCATTCATCATCATCAATATCAAACTGGCGAAGCTTTCTGCAAAAACCACCTCGACATTGCTCTCTCCCTTCATTACTATTCTCAAACGGTAAACTGCATTGAAGTGGGAAGAGAAGGAAGAAAGGAGCCGCTGATTCTTTATAAAAGCCGATCCTGTCAAAGAAGAATGCAATGGTTTCCTTATATCAGTAAGAGCTGGGTTGTTCTTTAGGAGATTAAGGTTAGGGTTCTGTGTTAGTGTCTGGAAAGCTTGAGTTGGGGCGTGCTTCCAGGAACTCAAGCTTATCTGGGCATAGCTTTCAATCTTGTCTTCTCTTCTTTTCATCTCTTTTAGCTTTGGTGTGAATTGTTCTTGAACTCTCGATTGGATTAAGTTTAGCTATCCCAGTGTCTCCACTTTGTCTTGAACAAGAACTATTTCATTTGAATTGGATGATTGTGTCTCTCCTTAGTTTACTCCCTTTAATGGATTGAAATTGGATACATAGCTGAATAACATACGCTACTTACAATAAATTCAACAGGTTGGTCTTCATTTTCCTTCCTCAAGGGATCACTTTCACACAACTCATGGTGACTTTGACTATATCTAATGCCTCGATACTTGTCGTTTTACCTCCGGATGATGTGTCAATTATGGCCATTACGTGGATTCATTACATTGTTATTTTAGTAGCAATTAAGATATTTTTGCTAAACCTCAGTCTGAATAATACAGAACACCTGAATTATCATAGAGTAGAATCACTTTGAGAATTCGAATCACATAGATCATCGTGTCTCTTTCTATTCATGCTTCGAATTTGTGATTGTTTAACCGTTATCTTCTCTCAAAAGAGCATTTTTTTTCTTGTCCCAACCTCATAAAAAAAACTGTTATTAGAGTGAAAGAGTCATATTGTAACAGCGGAAGCTAAGCTATAAAACAAAATCAAAACGGAGAAAAGTGAGAAGTTTGCTGAAAGTGCCTGGACCAACAATTAAATCAAACATTTCATGGCAAGACCAGAATTTATTATGCATTAGATGCCTGTCTTTAATCTACACCAAATTAGATCGGTTGGGAAATTGATGGAAGATCATGGCCTGTACACCATAAAAAAACGCACCAACTTCAATTTTATGATCTACAAATGAACCACACCTAATAGCGCTAGCTCATTAGGGAAAACATTAAGTTTACTATAAATGCAATTGTCGCAGGGATGGATTCCTTATCCAAAAACTCAGTTACTAGTGACGTCTGGATCACTACCTAAAGAAAGAGCGAAATAGTGACTTGAATAGCTACAAGTTCATAAATTATAAGAACACTCGATGAGAAATTCACTAGTTAGCAGATTGATTCTTAGATGTTGCATGTGTTATAATTTTATTTCATTATCAGTTCTTAATATGCCTCAATAATTACTTGTTCAATTTTCATGTTATGTTTTCTTAATTATAAACTCAATATCCAACTTTCATATGATTTCTTAAGTCATTTAATTTCAAATTTGATTTTAATATAGTAAAAAAATTTTATCATTTAACTTTTATAGTCTTATAGTATGGTTTCTTAAGTAATTTAGTTTTAAAATAAGATAATTTTACATTTTTGCAATTATTTTCCATTTTCAGTTTTATATTGTTGAACAATTAGTCGTTTATGCTTTCTAAGTTATTAAACTTGTTTATTTTATTTTCTTAAGTCCATTAATCTACAATTAGATCAAGAAAGTTTTACAGGATACATTTGAGTAAACAATGAACCAATTAAATTTTTTTCGAAATACTGTAGCTCTCATACGTTCAATTTCAATTATTAAAATATGGTGTAATACATAACATTGAAATTATTATTAACTTATAATTTGTTTAGTTCATATTGAACCTACCGTTGTGTATATATATATATTTTGTATAAATCTTATTTTAAAATCTAATATTCTAAAAATGCGAGTTATAACAATATTGAAAATATTTTTCTTTTCTAGTTTTGCATAATTTTTTCAAATTTTCTTTGTACAAAAATAAGAAGAGAAAAACTCCAATCCACCCCTACATGTATAATTGTATATATCTCTTCTAAATAATATATAAGGATGCATCAACATTTATCGTATGATTCTTTGCATCCAAAAATTTTACCCAAGCTGATCCAGCTGTTCTTGCTCTTGTTTCTCTAACTAAATAAACGTAGGATTCTCATCACCACTGACAAGAACAAAGTTACCCCATACAGAAAATATGTTTCAAGCAACTCTTTTAATTGTTTATGTGTAAATCGTTGATCTTTACACACGCACACTATGTATTTATCGGGGGCAATCTCATTAATTTAATCTACTAATTAACTAGTATATGCTCGACCAAAAACAAAAACAAAAATTAACTAATGTATGTTTACGAAATCCAATCAACTAATCATATTACTATTTCATTATTGGTGAAGTGAAATCGTTTTTCCCTAGCTAAAATAATGACTAGCGTCTGCCATTTTTTCCTTGGGTCACGCATGTGGAATATGACATTTTCCATAATATAAAAGGACCACCGATTATTAATAACGTCGATGGACAAACAATGATACATTACTAGCAATACTTATTGTACCCAAATCACAGCATCCGCCAGTCTCCTCCCTCTCTTCCTCCTCCATCTCTCTCCCCTTCCCTCCCTCCGTCTGCCGCCGCCGCCGCCGCCACTAACTATCTTCCACCACCGCTAAAATCCTTCTTCCCATCTATGAATCACACTCCTCTCTCTTAATTCCATTTTAACGAAAATCACAAAGCAATGCCGAAAGCTCTAGGAAGAAACCTGCAAAGCTGCTTCAGCGTCATCACCAAACGCCCCCTCCTCCCGCCGCCGCCGCCGCCGGGCCGATCACGCGCCTCACCCTCCCCGCCGTCACCAGAAGATCACAACCCACCAATCCCAAATCTATTCAAAAGCTACAACTCCCTTTTCGAGGAAGCCCAACCCCCAACAACCCCGCCGCCGCGTGTCTCCTCCGCTTCCTCTTCCTCCACATCATCCTCCGGCGAGCCCGACTTCGCCACCGTCTACGCCTCCCAGCGCTTCTTCTTCTCCTCCCCCGGCCGCTCCAACTCCATCGTCGATTCCTCCTCCACCGATCTCACCGATTGCATTGTCGCAGAAGCGGATCGCCGGGAAGTATCCCCGCCGCCGCCGCCGGAGATAGCGGTGAAGGACGGAGTGGCGGTCCCCACGTACTCCCCGGACCCGTACAGGGACTTCCGGCAGTCGATGCAGGAGATGGTGGATGCGACACGTGGGCGAGGGGGATTGGTGGACGTGGGGTCCAGCTGGGAGTACCTGCACGAGCTTCTGCTCTCTTACCTGGCCCTCAACCCAAAGACAACCCACAAGTACATCGTTTGCGCCTTCGCCGACCTCCTTGTCAACCTTCTCTCATCGACGACGGCGACGGCGACGGAGACACGCGGCGGAGGTGGTTGTCGCAGGTAGCGTGGGGACGTGGCAGGATTATAATTATGCTGTGTGCTTAATAATCTGGTCTGGTCTGAATCATGTTTCGATCCCTCCTAATTAATTTTGTTATCATTGTTGATCAGCTATGTGTATACATTATATTCATACGACTTAATAATTAAATTAAATGCACGTATATATGGCGCAGAACGGTAAAACTATTTTTCCTCAATTTTGATTTGTGGTTGGTTACTACTGTTACTGTTTCATCGTATATTTTATCGTCATAATTCCGAAGTTTTATTGTGCAAATCATGAAACTTTTTTTCTTTAACAAGATTCATGAAACTTTAAAGTAGGAAAAATATCATACATTTATTTTTTATAAATGAAAACTCACGGTCTCTAAACATCAAATTAAGAATTATTTTCATAAGCTACCAATATTCATCATCTGGACTAGAAGAATAAAATAGCACGATCTTGGACTAATTGAATGAAATGAGATCGATATTCTTTTCACTATTCAAGAGGTATAGATCAGTGGAGGATGTAGGGGTGGCCACCCCGGGCCACTGCCTAGCCCTCCTTTGGATTCGGAGCTAGTATAGCCCTTATGAGTTTATCGATTTTAGCCATTCGGCCCAGTGTTATTTTATAATAAGATTGTGTGTAATTAGGAAAAATGGGTAAGATTAACATATTCAAATCACAACTCTAAATTTAGACTAAAAGAAATATGAGGTTTGTTCGTATAAGAAATTACTTGAGCACCTAGTAAAAGTAGAAATTGATACACAATATATATTGATTAGTCAATTGATTTGTCTAGTATTGACATTGCTCGTTTCAACAACTACTATGCAGAGAACTTTTTCAATAATGAAATAGGTGAAAAGTTATTTGCGCAACAAAATGAGCGATGAATTTCTCGCCAATTGGGTAACTATTTTATTTTAAAGAGAGTATGCTATTGGTATGGATGTAGATTCTATTATTGATGAATTCACTATATTAAAATTTAAAAGATCGACGTGTATAATTAATATTGTAAAAAAAACTATGAAATTTATTTTACGATTTCTAATTTTTTAATTAAATGCGGCCCAGTCTTCTACTGAGTTCTGGATCCACCTCTGATGTAGATGGCAGAGACAATATGCACAGTGATGAGAGGTAGGAGAGAGGAGATGGTAACAAAAGGCAGCTAGATGTAGGAGAAGGTTGTTGTTGAGAAAAGGTTGACCGTTGTATGGAGTTATTAGAAAGAATGATGAGTTCAGGCTTGGAAATATGAGAGGAGATCGTTACGTAATTTCATATTTGTTTAATTCTTCTTTCAATCCCCCACTCTCGAATTTCTAGTCCAGATTAATTGTGTGATTGCTCCCAAATGAATAATTTTTTCCAGTTACACATAAGCACATAAAAATGGAGTAAAAAGCGTAAAGTGTTGGACCTTCAAATATATACTTTAAATCGATATTTTTCACCAATTTTATACGTTTGAGATTTTACATGAAAACTTAAAGTGAATCTGGAGGTTTTAGATTCGAATCTAACAAAAATAAAGTATTGGGTTATAGGTATAATATGCCCTCTACTATGCAGTTTTATCAAACATGCCCCTCTACTATTTTTTTACATCAAACATGCTCCTATACTTTGTTAAAATGATCTAACATACCATTCTGTTAAAATTTGCATCCAAAAACCATCAACCATGGTCGAACATTGGTTTGGGCTACACCTATGTCTAAAATATTCTTAATAATTTGAATTTAGAAATTTTTTGTTTCTTTTGTATAGCCAGATACCTCTAATAATTTAACTTTAACGAGACATGGAGAAATAAATGAGGAGGAAAAACTGACATTTCACCCCCAATCTTTCCGATGTCGGGTCGTGTGAATCTCGGTTCAATCGTGATTGACCATATTTTAATGGAAATTTTTATATAAGGGCATATTATACCTATAATCCTGAAGTATTTTGATGATCTAAAAGCATATCAGCGTAAATTTTAAAGTTTAAAATGCGAGTTTGACTAACATGATAGTATGCATCTACGTATTTTAACTTAAGATAAAAAAATCAATATGAAAGTTCATTGAAAAATGGATGATATATTTGTGTTTATTATTTTAAGTGCGAACTGTATGTACAGAAATGTATTTGTTAAATACATGCATTGTTCACAATACAACGTTTGGAAGTGTCAAGTTGCAAAACTATGCATGTATTGTTGTGTGGGTCCCACCAACAATCAACAAAAATGAGGGATTGTACAATCTCAACTAAAAGTTGAGATTGTTGTGATTGTTGGTTTAATAATTGAGCACATTTACTTTTTCCAAGTATTTTGATGACATTTCCTTATAAAGTAACTTTATAACAATCAATTCATAAATTATAATCTCAACAACCAAACAATGTAATTTCAAAATCATCTATTGTATCAATGCGTACATTTATATCATAGTGATTCATAACAATACAACGATTTAAGATACTCAACTTCCAAACGACCCTAAAATGTAAAGTAATATATATGCTTTCTCTTTCCCAATAAACGAGTCTCTCCCTTCTACAAAAATAAAAATAAAAATAAAAAATTCATCATTCTGTATATTTTGAGCAAGTAGCTAGATTTTAATTATTTGGCGCTGCAAAACAACAGTGCAGCGAGGTAGCTAGCGACCCTTCATTTGCTTTTTCCTGCAGGCTGCATACATTTCCATCTTTCACAGAGTAAAATATCATTGATTTTGAATTTCTTGTTTTTCCTTCTTTTTGCGTAGATGGTCCAGAACTGGTTTTGTCGCGAACCTAAACAGAAAACAGTAGTGTGTATGGATGGAGTATAGATAGAGAGCTGATGGGGACAAATACACCGACGTTGTAACTTTAGATGGAATGGAACAGTTACCTGCACCATTCGACCAAACAGAAACAGATCATCAGAATAAGAAGAAAAAAAAAACGAAAAAATCAAACAGAAACAGATGGTTTGGATCCAAGTTGATAGTGTTTCGTAGTCACTTGAACAAACAGTTATTCCATCTGAAACAGTAGTGCACACTTTGATAGTGCACGCCGATTATATACGTGTGGTAATTTCCCCTTTAGTGAAAGATTTTGCTTTGATTTAGTTCACATACTCAGAGCTGGTAGCTAGGAGATGATGTATCATGCTAACGACTGATGGTGGTGAGGCGGGGTTGAGGCGGGTATCGAATATCTATTTTTTTAGATTTTTTTAAATAAAAATAAATTTTGTTCTTCTTATGTGGATAAAATAATAATGTGTATAAGTATGCACATGTAAAGAATAATTAATAAATTTTAAGTTGTGTTTCAGTCGACTTTCATCTACCAAATAAAACATGACTACAAATTTATCAATGTGTAGCCGTATTTAGTGAAAATCGGTCAACCTATGAGAAACGAGACCAACCATCGACAATTTTTTACGAGGTCTCATTAATCATTATTGACTCTTCCAGATTCCTATTGTTCAAGGAATATCTAAAGTTCGTCTCCTCCCACTGCTTGGGAGCTTACCGTTGCATGTTCTATTTCACTCCTCGACGCATATCACATATTATTATTATTTTAGCCAACCATATGAGCACCGTGGTCACACAAAGTTGTCCATCAAAAGAGTTAATCTCCGGTCACCATAGACTATCATTCAAAGTTCACTAAATACTTATATTAAAGGTGGTAAATGATTGGGTGGAGAATACAAAAAAAAAAGGACCGAGAAATATAAGACTGTTAAATACCAATACGGAAAAAATGCGTTTCAAAAGCATGAGATATTAGGAAAACTCTTTTTTCTGAAGAAAAATTGCAGAGTTTTCCCAAGATGGCCTAATATCGAGTTATTGACAGAAAATTACGAATTAACTCATTGGGATTAATGCAACAATGAAACGAGCTGTATGTTTGTGAGTTTAAAATCATGATTGCTTTCATTCTATATATATAATAGTCTTTTTTTTGTCGAAAAACGGAGCGCTTAAAGGGCGCCCCAACCTCTATTCAATAACGAGACGGGGAGTTTCCACCCCAATACTGTCGAGATACAACCAGTAGGCTAATGTACTCGAGGGAACATCAATAGCATGGACCCCTACAGGATAATTATGACCGATGGAAGCCAAGTAGTCAGCAACGTAGTTCCCCTCCCTATAAACATGCTCGATATGAACCTGCCAAGGCTGTTGAAGCCATCAACGGATATCAGCTATGGCAACGAAATGAGGATGATGCTCTGAAGCTGTCTCAATGAGAGTTTTTGCTATAAGAGAGTCGGTCTGGAGAATCACCTTCCTAGCCCCGAGTTCCCAAGCAAGTTTCAGTCCCTGGCCAATTTCAGCCAGCTCTGCACGGGTAATCGAGAACTCCCCCCCTCCCCTCCCCCCAGGTTCGCAGTAAAAGCTCTGATGAAGCGGCCATCGCCTCCCCGAACAATGCCGCAAGCTGTTGTGCTTGAAGGAGAATGAAAGACCGAGTCGTCGGTGTTTAGGCATATCCAATCTGGTGGTGGTGACTGCCAGGGGATCAATCGACTCAGAGGAGGCCCCCCTCCTCCGAAGATCTCGTTCTCCTTGTCGAGGGTAGCAAGAATCTGCTGCTTTAGCTGCTTTGTGTGGAATTGGATTTGAGCAGGGGACTGTAACTCACCTTGGAACACGTGGTTATTCCAGTTTTTCCACAGAAGCCAACAGGTGCAAGCAAAAAGGGTACTATCCACGATGGCACTTCTTCCTGCAATGTAATGGAACAACCATTATCGCAAAGGTTGGCCAAAGAAAACTTCGTCAGGTTCAGTGTCCAGAAGATCAGCCCAAGTAGCTCTAGCTATTAGGCACTCCATCAAGATGTGCGTGGTAGTCTCCGGCTCGCCACCACAGAGTTTGCACGAACTGTCTTCGATAAGATGGTGTCGTCTTCTCTCCGAGTTAGTAAGTAGGCGGTCGTGAAAAGCCATCCATAAGAAGGTCCGCGTACGCTGCAAGGCTGGTGCTCGCCAAATTGTACGCCATATCGGGTGTGTCACGGGAAGATTCTGGCTTTGGTCTAGCAACTGGTACACTGAGCGTACCGAGAACTTCCCGTCGGCAGTAAGTCTCCAGATCCGTACGTCGGCTTCTTGCTCCACAGGAATGGGGTGGAGAAGTACCT